TTAGCTACCTCCACCCCCCCTCACAAGCTACATACACCACAGTGCAGAGAAGTGATTTCAAAGCTGAAACCAAAAACTCCTTTGGCTAACAATAAGATGCCTCTCCATAAGACGCACGGTCCCACCAGTTGCTCCACTTCTGGCTACCAGGAGCTAGAAAACAAGGTAAGGGTCCTCAAAGGGACATGGATGGACGGCGTGTTTGACGTACTCCGACTAGCAGGGGTCCCACTCCCCGTGTCTCTTAAGCGGGTCCACCGAGTTGGTGTATGGAATCCTAAGCTCGCGAAATCTGGGACGCCTATGGCGCGGCCAATTTTGGTCGAGTTTTATAGTGAGGCCGTTAGGGTTAAAGTATTAAACAAGGCAGCATCAATAGCCCAGATAACGAAGGGCAGGTATGGCATCAGGCCGGATAAGGAATCTAGAACTATGCTCAGAAAACCCAGACTAGGAAAAGAAGACAGTCCTCCAAGTCGTAAAGACAGCGAGGCCCAACGCCGGATGGTTGGTTTGCCTGAACGAATTCCACAACCCGTGGAGCGCCAAACGGTCACGACCGCTCCAAAGGAAGTAGCTTTTATTGAAGACTTACTGGAGGACGATACCTGGGTAAACTGTAACCAACCAGACGACGACCTGGTTGGAAACAACAGCAAAGAATTGAGAGGTATGGTCCTAGCAGAAGAGACTTAGACGCCACAATCCGTCGGAGTTCCCAGTGAACACCGCCTTTGGTTGCAAAATCTCGGCGTCCCCTCGGGTTTAGTGCCCGAGGCACCACAAAACCTACGTATTATAGGAAACAAAAGACGGGGAACGGAAGAAGTGATGTTATACACCAATGCATGCAGCATAAGTAACAAATAGATGGAACTCTTTAAGGTGGCGGCGAATGCAGCGCAGGGGTAGTTGCGGTCACCGAAACTTGGTTATCTAGGAATGACCACGTACCCCGAGTCTTTCAAGAACGCTATGTAATTTACAGACAGGATAGACAGCATGATTGTCTGGGAGGGGGAGTAGCCATCTTCATTAGGGAGGGCATAAGCCATCTCGAATCCAAGGTCAAATTATGCACCAGGAATCTTCATGTATGCACCGTCACACTGATCCTTCCGAAGAGTAAGGTTACGTGACATGCGTTTACCAGTCCCCTAGTTTGATTAGTGAAGAGGATATTAACCTTCTTCGAGTCCTTGCAGACCAAGTGAAGAAACCCGGCAAGACTATGATAGTAGGTGATTTCAAAATGCCAAATTTAGATTGGGAGCTTGGAATGAGCCCATTAGGAACAAAGGAATAGACATTTCTGGAGTGGCTTCATGAAAAGGCAATGAGGCAAAATGTAAAAGAAAACACTAGATACAGGACGGGCTGCCTTCCCTCACTACTGGATCTGGTGATTACGAGGCACCCTACGGATGTCATAGAACTGACGTAACTCCCAATGTCAGGTGAGAGCGATCATGTATGCATGAGATTTACATTATGCACGCAACATCCGACGGCTACCACAAAAACGGCTTGAAACTTTGGAGCCATGAACGTAGATCTCTCCCGTAGCAGAGCGGCCGAACTAACCTAGGACGACGAAGTAACCAGTATCGAGGGGCTATGGGGAGTAATTAGGAAATCGCTGCACATACTCCAAAACCAATTCGCACGGTTTAAACCCAGGCGACACCTAACCAAACCGACTTGATGGCGAGCGGCTAAAGACAAGGCCATGAAGCATAGAAACCGCAGTTGGCGCTTGTACAAAATTTCTGGGAGCCGCCTAGCTTGGACGCGCAACACAGACATGGGAAACGCAACGATCGACGCCGTACGAACAGCGAAACGCAACTATAAGTTCAGGCTGGCTAACTACACCAAGAACTATCTTAAGTAATATTGCGGGTATGTACCATCCAAAGGAAGAATCAGGGATGGCGTGGGACCGCTGAAGACTGGAGGGCAATCTGTTGCTGCAGACGACAACAGCAAGGCGGACACACTAAGTCTCTACTTTAGGAGTGTTCATCGCACGGACAACGATGCGCCCGCAACCTGGAACCCGGTAACTTCTCTGGTAGTTACAGACTATTTGCGTCTAACGGAGGACATGGTTGGGAGCCATTTAGAGAGCTTAAATATAAACAAGTCGGCTGTTCCCGACGGTATTCACCCAGCCATTGTGGAACCATCAGCGGGCATCTTAGCTCGACGACTGTGTCAACTATTTAGGCGCAGCCTAGAACAAGGTATTCTTCCACGGGACTGGAATACAGCTGCCGTGGTAGCCATAAATGAAGGGGGGCCCAGGTCAGACGTAAGCAACTACAGGTCGGTAAGCCTGACTAGCATTCTTTGCAAGGTGCTGGAAAGGATCATCATCATATCTGTAAGCACTCTATGCTGTGTCCTGCTCACCATGGGTTTTTGAAAAACGGGTCGCGTCTCACCAATCACTTGTGCTTCCTAGATGAAGTAACTCGTAGGTTGGATGAAGGCAAAAGCGTTGGGTATGATATCTTGACTACAGTAAATCGTTCGACTCTGTGAATCATCGCCTACTGTTGATCAAGTTGAAAGCCGTCGGCATGGAGGGGCAGATATATAGCTGGATATCTGACTTCTTACGTGGGCGATTTTTCTATGTAAGCGTATGTAGTTCCAATTCCAGCCTGAGTAACATCACTAGTGGAGTACCTCAAGGATCGGTACTGGGACCCATCTTATTCTTACTGTTTATAAACGACCTAGCCATGACGCTCTAGTCACCTAGCTTTTTCTTCGCGGATGGTGTAAAAGCCGTAAGATCAGAGGGGCGAGAGGATCTGGCCAGGGATATTGCTCCAGTCCTTCGATGGGCCCTCAAGTGGGACTTGCCACTGAATTCTCGCAAAAGCCAACTGCTGTCACGAGCCATATAGGGTATCACAGTTGGCCAGGAGGTAGTTCCCTTCACTATGGAGGCGGTGGAAAATGTAAAAGACCTAGGAATCTTGGTAACCGCTGATCTTAGGTAGTCCATTCAGTGTGCCAGAGGGGCACAGAAAGATAGGGGTGAATTATTTAGACTAAGGTCACGTCGTCGTGCCGTAAACCTGAGGTATTCATACCTACGTACAAGGCCATAGTATGGCCCCACCTAGAATATTGTGTCCAGGAATAGTCACCCCTCTTCAAAAAGGATTCCGCCTGTTTAGAGAGGGTTCAGCGGCTGGCAGCGAGAATGGTTGAGGGTCAGCATGGCAAAAGATACAAGTAAAGGCTTCAGGACCTGGGACTATTCTCTTTAC